ATTAAGATTGTCTTCTGCTGCTGCAGCACACAGGTGAAAAAACACAGGAACTACTTGAAACCTTTTAGCTCTGCTAATTTTAAAATTCTGAAGAATTTTCTTTAGGATCTTGGTTGGGGAACTAAAATGTCCAACAGACTCTGCCATGATACGATAGACAGATCTATCTCTGGACGTGTTTGGCAAAGATAACTAGTATGACAAATGCAGGTGGAGGCAGCATTTATCATACTCGCTGATGGCTTCTGGAAATGCTGGTGAAAATAATTCCTCATGCCTTATTTCCATGGGCTGGTGTAGTTTGGCACTCTGTTTTAAAGTGAGCCATATTCAGGTGAGTTTTCACTGCTGGGCAGACTCTCACTGACTAGGCGGGGTTAAAATCAAACACCTGATTTGTTGTCATACTAGTGCAAAAGCAAGTGTGTTGCTTCAGAATGTTTCATGCCTGTCACAAGCAGTAACATTTTCTGAACCCCAAAAAAGCAACTGTCTTGTGTGCACCAGTGGCTCCACCCTAACTGTCCTATACCATTCCTCCACAGACCTCCAACTGCAATAGGCTTAACAGTCACCCCACAACAGTGCACTAATGTTAACTGGTCTTACACAAGTCCAAGAGCTTCAGCAAGGCGTTTATAGAGGCTTTTGCGCTGGTGATGTGATGCTTAACATGGACAGCACTTCACTCAGAAACTCATCAACTCTTAGAAAGGTCATGAAGATATTTAGGACAGCAAAAAAATGTTCCCCTAGTTAAAGACCAAGACCAGTAAGGTTCTTTGGTCTCTCAAGTACTGTATTTTCTGGAGTATAAGTCATAGTTTTTTCATAGTTTGGCCGGGGGTGCGTCTTATACTCTGGAGCAACATATCTGTGAAATTCTTAACACATTATTATGTCATATCACATTATTTTCACACTAAATCGCAAGAGGGTGCTCTAGGCCTGTGTTGATAATTTCAACATTGGCAGTGACTTATAAAAATAACTGAGAAGGGCTTAACTAAAATGGCACCAAAAAGAAAATTATATGCTACAGATTACAAGCTGCAAGTAGTATAATATGCAGCCAAAAACGATAATCGAGCAGCAGAAAGAAAGTTTGGAGTTAGCGAGAAACTTATAAGGGACTGGTGAAAATACAGTAAATATGTCAGGTTCTGTGTTTAATTCTGAGTTTCTGTGTCCTGAGTTCTCCTCGTTGTCCTGTCTTCCCCTTGATTGTTCCCAGGTGTGTCTTGTTCTCCTGATTACCCTCAGTGTATTTAGTCCCTCCTGTGTCCTTTGTTCCTCGTCGGGTCCTTGTCATTGTTTGTCGTTGTCGTACTTTTGTTGTCAGTCAGATTGTCGTCGTTGTTGTTTTTTGTGCCGCCCTTAAGACCAGTTGCTACCGGTGTGAGCCCTGGCTTCTGCTCAGCCGTGCTGCCTGGCCGCGGACTACTGTTTGGACTGTTTTTGTGGATTTTTTGTTATTAAATTACACCATCGTTCATCTACCTGGGTCTCCAGCGTCTGCCTCACCACCTCCACCACCACACTCCATGACAGAAGGACCCGACCAAGAATACGGTGAGGCTCGCTGTTTTACATCATGGACCCAGAGGGTTTTAGAGGAGCTACTCCGTACAATCCAGGAGTATGAGGAGTCAAAGAGCACGTCCACGTTCGCCCTGAGACGGCCAGGGTTCGCGATACGCCTGGGCCTGCTATTGGACTATTGGGTTCCTCGTCTCCCGCACCCCGCGCTGGTGGAGCTGCAGCGGGAGGCAGAGGAGATACGCCGGACAGCCTTTGCGGCCTGGGACGCTAAACCTCTGCCTCCCAGGCCAGACATCCGCTCCGGCAGCCCAGCCCCAGCTCCAGCCTCTGCTCCTCGTGCCGCTTCGCCGGACCCCGCTCCGGCTGCCGCTCCGCCCCCCGCTACGGCTGCCGTTCCTGCTCCGCCGGACCCCCCGGCTGCCGTTCCTGCTCCGCCGGACCCCGCTCCGGCTGCCGTTCCTGCTCCGCCGGACCCCGCTCCGGCTGCCGTTCCTGCTCCGCCGGACCCCGCTCCGGCTGCCGTTCCTGCTCCGCCGGACCCCGCTCCGGCTGCCGTTCCTGCTCCGCCGGACCCCGCTCCGGCTGCCGTTCCTGCTCCGCCGGACCCCGCTCCGGCTGCCGTTCCTGCTCCGCCGGACCCCGCTCCGGCTGCCGTTCCTGCTCGGCCGGACCCCGCTCCGGCTGCCGTTCCTGCTCCGCCGGACCCCGCTACGGCTGCCGTTCCTGCTCCGCCGGACCCCGCTCCGGCTGCCGTTCCTGCTCCGCCGGACCCCGCTCCGGCTGCCGTTCCTGCTCCGCCGGACCCCGCTCCGGCTGCCGTTCCTGCTCCGCCGGATTCCGCTCCGGCTCCTGCTCCTGCTCCGCCGGATTCCGCTCCGGCTCCTGCTCCTGCTCCGCCGGATTCCGCTCCGGCTCCTGCTCCGCCGGATTCCGCTCCGGCTCCTGCTCCGCCGGATTCCGCTCCGGCTCCTGCTCCGCCGGATTCCGCTCCGGCTCCTGCTCCTGCTCCGCCGGATTCCGCTCCTGCTCCTGCTCCGCCGGATTCCGCTCCGGCTCCTGCTCCTGCTCCGCCGGATTCCGCTCCGGCTCCTGCTCCTGCTCCGCCGGATTCCGCTCCGGCTCCTGCTCCTGCTCCGCCGGATTCCGCTCCGGCTCCTGCTCCTGCTCCGCCGGATTCCGCTCCGGCTCCGGCTCCTGCTCCGCCGGATTCCGCTCCGGCTCCGGCTCCTGCTCCTGCTCCGCCGGATTCCGCTCCGGCTCCGGCTCCGCCGGATTCCGCTCCGGCCTCCGTGGACTCTGCTCCTCGTGCCGCTGCTCCGGCAAACTCTATCCCTAGTGCTCCTTCCGAGATCCCTAGTGCTCCTTCCGAGATCCCTAGTGCTCCTTCCGAGATCCCTAGTGCTCCTTCCGAGATCCCTAGTGCTCCTTCCGAGATCCCTAGTGCTCCTTCCGAGATCCCTAGTGCTCCTTCCGAGATCCCTAGTGCTCCTTCCGAGATCCCTAGTGCTCCTCCAGTGCCCCCTAGTGTTCCTCCAGTGCCCCCTAGTGTTCCTCCAGTGCCCCTAGTGTTCCTCGGCACCATGGACGCCCTCCGGACCTCCCCTGTGGGGTCTGCCGCGGGCGCCGAGGACGCCCTCCGGACCTCCCCTGTGGGGTCTGCCGCGGGCGCCGAGGACGCCCTCCGGACCCCCCTCGACGCCTCTGCCCTCTTTCTGTTTAGTTTTGGACTCTTGGCCCCTCCTTGTGTTTCCGCCCACCTTTTGTGGGTAGTTTTTTGTTTTCTGGACTCTGGCCCTCCTTCCGTCGCCCCTCCGCCCACCCTGGTTTTTGAGTTTTGGATTTTGGTTTTGGGCGTCTGGTAGCCGCCCTTTAAGGGGGGGGGGGGTACTGTCAGGTTCTGTGTTTAATTCTGAGTTTCTGTGTCCTGAGTTCTCCTCGTTGTCCTGTCTTCCCCTTGATTGTTCCCAGGTGTGTCTTGTTCTCCTGATTACCCTCAGTGTATTTAGTCCCTCCTGTGTCCTTTGTTCCTCGTCGGGTCCTTGTCATTGTTTGTCGTTGTCGTACTTTTGTTGTCAGTCAGATTGTCGTCGTTGTTGTTTTTTGTGCCGCCCTTAAGACCAGTTGCTACCGGTGTGAGCCCTGGCTTCTGCTCAGCCGTGCTGCCTGGCCGCGGACTACTGTTTGGACTGTTTTTGTGGATTTTTTGTTATTAAATTACACCATCGTTCATCTACCTGGGTCTCCAGCGTCTGCCTCACCCCCTCCACCACCACACTCCATGACAAAATATCTGGTCAAATGTCAACATTTTATTGTTAACATCACATTATAAAGATGGAATAGTAAAAACCAGCCTTAGTAACAGTATTTAAAACCCATGTGTCTCCTTTTTAGAATTAAAAATAATTACTTCAAAGACCATGTAAAGTAAATTGTAATAAATGACCAGTTGTAATTAATTTTGGAGTGGAGTCAACACTTTGCTTCACCTGGCTTCCATTATGTGCCCTCTTTCTTCAGGTCATCGCCCACTGGGTATGGGAGCTTAAGCTTCACTCTTCAAGAATCTACTCCTGCTTCCCCTGTCAACCCCGAACCTTTGTGACTATGTTCCTGTTTTAAAAAGTCAAAAACAAAAAATATGGCAGAAAGAGGAGAGGAGGAGCATTGATGTCTCCCCCGGGAAGGTATGAACTAATTGGTTAGTATAAAAAGAAATGACCTGATTTGAAAACTGAAAAAAAATTGGACCCAAAATTATCAAAACATGAAAGGTACACAACTTGTTTTCATGCACTGTAAATGAGGCAACTTTGATTTCTGTTTAATGTAAAATGTACCACAAACATGAGAAGAGTTTTACTGTTGAAGCCTTAAAAGAGGAGTTTCACATGTTAAAATCATTTACAGTAAGCGCTGCAACTCCAAAAGGTGGGATTCTCGTTCGAAGGTCTCATTGTGTTCTGGACACTACGTACTTTACTGACATCCTTTGAATTGAATTGCACAGTATACGTTTGGATACTCTTTCTAAGCAAAGTTCATCTTTTCACAGCTCAAACAGGACTTTTGGAAAATAGAACAGAAAGAAAGACATGCAGAAGTCCCCCGGCCATATTTCCTACTCCACATATAACTCCTGCATTATATCAAAGGTAAAGACAGACTCATCTCCTCTTCACACATCTCCAAGCCAGACTTGCCCATGCAAACATTCCAGTGTCACACACAGCCTGCAGGCACACAATTTTTACAGATAGATTTCTACAGTATGAACATCTGTGCTCTATTGTTGTCCACAGAAAAGCCCTTTTAAGGCCTCCCATCCCCCTCATCCTTGCCTCCTCTCTCTGCTTCTCTCCTTTCCTTTTTTTCCCTCTCTGTGCTGTTAGGCTGCACCATCCCTCTGTAAGAGCAGAAAACGATAAGGTGAGGACGAGCAACCACTCCAGCTTTACCTTTCAACGCCGGGAGTGATGTAAAGGATTCAGCTGAGACGTTGCTGCTTCTGATGTTGGCTAATAACATCATATGACAACAAACCACCTGCTCCCTCTGCTCGATCATATGACCAGCTTTAGCTCTGGAACAGCTCTCTGGGATTTGTAGTCTGTTTGTGTAGATAAGGCCAAGTCTTTCAGATAAAAACATTTTGCCACTAATAATTGCTATTTAGAGCTCAGAAGAACTCTTACTGATTTAGTTTTTATTAAGAAGCTACATAAAAAGCAGCAAAGGTCTAGTAATGAGATTAATTAACTCATCATCAGGGTGTAGTCATTTCTGCAACATCCAGAGAAGCATTTGTTTCTGAACATCAGTCTCAACCCCTTGGCATTGCTTTTCTAAATTTGACACAAAATGATTTTATTTATTATTATTATTATTATTATTATTATTATTATTATTATTATTAATGTGAAACATGTATTGTGGGGTGTCTGCCAAAAGTATTCACACCCATGGATTTGAACCCTCTGCCTTTTTTTTTATCGTAGTTTATAGTAGTTCTAAGATAAAACTGAAAACTGATATGACAAAACTTTGTTGTATTTCAATCAATCAATCTTATTTATAAAGCACCCTTCATGTTGAAGACAGCTTGTTGGAAACACATAACAAAGGGTATCGCTGAACTGGGTTTGAACCATTCAGGGTCACAGTCTGCAGGTGCAAATACCAGAGTTGTGAAGTAACTTAAACTAGTGGGATGTTCCTTTTTTTCGTCCCATCTTTGTAAGAAGGCTAGTAAATATTAAAAGAGATGTACTTTCATCTTTTCTTCACTTCCCTGGACTATCTAGGGGAGTTATTGCTCATATTCTTTGCTTAATTTCTTAATAAAAAAATGCATTTTGATTTGTTTTGATTAACTCAGTGTTTCATCTTAGGTAAAACGTCTTTATTCCCTTAACACTGATTTCTACAAAAATAATAACAAAACAGGAAGTGAATCATTGGAAGTCAAAATTGGAAATTAAAGAAGAAAGTGCTAATTTTCATTTAGAACAAACACTTACTAGCAGCAGGCAAGATGGAGAAATGTTTTCAAACTCATCCCCCTCATTGTGGAATAGCTCGGTTCAGCTTATATATGTACGTTTCCAGTGTTTATTTTTTTAACTTTGTGGGTGCGACTTATAGTGAGCTGCGCTCTATAATCCAGAAAATACAATATGTGTACGATTCAGTGAAAGCTAAACACAAATTTAAAGAATTTTTAGACCCATGGTGATGTTAAAAAAATCCTCATGAACTGTTTGAAAGCAGGAGTGGTGCAGGCAGTGGGAGTCGTGCTACCCACCTGCATGCTCCAACCAGGTTGGAGCCCTGTACTGGCAACCAGGCCAGCTGGACAGCATCTCTCAGACAAATTTGAGCTTTGCCTCAGGCTTTAAAAACAATAAAGAGCTATGATTTGTTGGCAGAACAAATGCAATGCAACTTAAATTTGAAGTGATTCTGCCACAATGAGAGCAGCCATTCCTTTCCTCGGAATTAGGCTCCAGAATATTGTCTAAATGACCCATGACGCTCCAAGCTGTATCATTTGATCAAGGAAAATAAGATTATGTTGCCCATTATTGTAGGAACAAGAAGTTAATGTTGTATCCTGAGTCGAACATTATGTGCAAATAAAGCTGATTAAAATGTTCTCTAACCTAATGTGTGCAAACGATGGTTAACAGCTGAAAGGAGCACAAAACAGGCAGAACTGATTGGGTGAAATCCCAATATCTGAAAATGATGCTGTGTATTAAATGTAATAAATATGTTTTGTGTAGCCCACAGATATATCCTAATTTGTTCCGGGAAGCATAAAAGGTCACCTTTAAACAAGTTTAAGCATGTTTCTTCAGGATGCCACTTGGCTCTGTGGTAGAGCAGGCACATCAGTCCTCCAGTCCGCTGTAGTCCTCCTACTGGTGGTGGACTTTTATTACAGAAATTGAGCTATCCAAACCATCCTGGCCTTGGATGAAATTGTAATTAGAATACATTCAATTACAGTGTTAACCATTCCAGGAATGAACAACTTACCAAATTATACCAAGAGTGCAACAACATATCACCCGAGAGGTCAAAAACAAACCAAGAGCAGCATCTAAGTCACAGGTGTTAAACTCCTGTCCTCAAGGGCCGGTATCCTGAAGTTTTTAGATGTACCACAAGTACAAAACACTGGAATAAAATAGCTTAGTCACCTCCTCCTTGTGTAGATAAGTTCTTCTCCAGAGCTTTAATGACCTAATTATTCTATTCAGGTATGGTGCAGCAGAGGCACATCGAAAAGTTGCAGGACACTGGCCCTAGAGGACTGGAGTTGACACCTCTGCTAAGTGAAATCATTCTAGCTGACTGGGATTGAACTAGACCAGCCTGACATTGACGAGTTACACCTGGCATTAAAATCAATCATGAGCACCGTGTCTGTTGATATTTTGGTAACGTTACAAATACTTGAATCCATTATAATTCAGGCATGGCCTTTTCAAAATCCAGGTCTTAAGCTTTACCTAAAAGAGGATCTTCATCCTCAAAAACCCTCCAGTGTGGCTGAATAAAGCAATTCTGAACTAAAACCAGCCTTAGCTAAAAAAGGTTTGTATGGATTTGTAAAAGAAAAATAAAGGAAGAAGTAATTATTTAAAACTGCATTTTGTTTTCACTATGGTTATTTTTGTTTGATATGTGCAATATATTTAAGTATGGTAAAAAGCGGAAACAAGAAATGTACAAAGCAAATACAAATCACACCACTGTAAAAATAATTTTGCTGGATTATGTGTTTGTAACCAGCAAAGCATGTTAATATGTTACTTCTGTACATTTATTCTAATATTATTTTTGTGATAAAAATAAAAAATAAATAAAATACATATACTAGTCCTTTTAAAAGCGGTCAGTCTGGCCATGAACATTGCTCTCACCTTCATATAGCTCTGCTTTGTGTTATTAAAATGCTGTTCTGCTCCATCCACTGCAGCTCTTATTTTTTATTTTATTTTATTTTTTTTACCAAAAACTGGGTTTTCTCCTGTGGCTCGCAGTCCCCGGATACATCTGCCTCACTGACACCAAAAGTGACCTTCACACTCTCCCACTGTCCAAACTGCATATGGCAAGAAAAATAAAAAAATAAAACAAAACAGCAGAGTGTGGCCAGCTGTCCTGTTCAGAGTGACAATGATCTATGTGGTGATCAAGCTGTTAATGACTTAGTTGGACCTCAGCCATTATGTGCTGTCCACATCCACATTGATGGAAAATTCCCCTGCCTTTAAAAAGTCTTTAATACCATCCATCAATGTGTGAAACAAGCTGTCCAACAGGAACAATCACGTTGATAAAAACACCATAAAAATCTTTAATAGGGCAAATGAATTGAGGGAACATTAATGGGAATTCACCTCAGTAGTTGAGGATGGTATACATTTCTAATAATGTCTGAGATGTCTTCTTGATATTAATGAAAGAGCAGAACAGAACAGTTGTACTGAGGCTGTGTAGTATACAATCCCTTGTTAAACATCAATACATCTTATTGCTTTTTTAAGCTTTTTTGCATTTCTAAAACACAGTATTCAATATTTCTGTCTCAGAGCCCTGAAAAATACAAAAACAAAATATTCATTCGGTCAATGAAGTCATCATTTAAAGGATTGACCTGTTTGTCTAAACAGAACCCCTGAGACCACAGAGCAGTGCAATACTCCTGGAGGTTATTAAAGGACTATAACAGTTAAATCAATCAAAGCAATCCCACTGTTTAGATTACAGTTAAATAAAACATTTAAAGTGACAGTCTGTATGTTATTCTGATAATTGTAAAGTAACTCAAGTATAACAAGCAGACATAAGTGGTTTCTGGAGGGTAGGTGAGCAACAAAATAGATGTTTTTACCAAGAACCATTTTACAGCATATACATTGGTAAAACCGGCTGACCAATATGATGGTTGCTCAGTTTGGGTTGCTAAATAACAGAGTGGACTATGGTGGGGTAGGGAGCAGAGGGACAGTACTTGCTGATTTGTGACATTAAATTCTGGTTTGGAAACTGGTCTTTTTTCAGACACCAAAAAACATGAAGTCATTGCTAAAATTGGCTAGGTGTTATTTATTTATTTATTTTTTTTATAGAAGCACTTGAACTGTTTTGAGAAGCAGTTGAGACCAAACTGGAAGTAGAAAAACATGCAAAATGTGAATTTCGTATAATATGTCCCCTTACAAGCATGGGAACATTACGACATGCAAATGTTATCTCCAATTTTCTTGAAGAAGGTGGTTATGTATCCCTTCCAATAAGATTTTGTTGTTTTAATTGAGCAAAGTCATTAATTTTTCATAATGTGTATCAGTTACCAGAACATGTTAAAAATCTAAAGACTGTATGAGAAAACTGAATTCTTTGTCCTCTCTGTGACGTTCACATGGTGTTTTGTGTCTTTAGTTTTGAACTAATCCATGTCATGTTCCTCATTACCATTATTCCTTGCACCTGTGTTGTTCCCTGATTGTTTCCCTTATTAAGCCTCACTCAGTCACATTCTCGCTGCCTGATTATTGAACACATTATCCAAGTAGTTTTCCAGCACTCTTGATCTCACCCTCTTTGATGTGACCTTGGTCTTTTTTCCCTGGATTTGCCCCTTTGCGTTACCCTACCTGGATCTTGACTCACACCCAAATTATGGATTCCCCACTCACCTCCATTCCGTCAGTGCAGCATCAACTCCTTTTTTTGTCCCTTGGCCGATCCGTGCAGAACCTGATTAGCAGATCAGGTTGATGAACATTCCACACACTAACCGTTTTCTTTTTGAGTGTTTCTCAGATCACTGATTTCTTCTCTCAGGCCCCTTTAGTGCTGTAGTTGAATAAATAAACTCAGAATAAATCTCAGTTCATTGCTCACTCCTGTGTCATGGTTTATTTTCTGGGTCCCTCTAGTGAGTCATTATATTCTCATAATTTCTTTCTTCAATTATATGGTACACACAACATAACAGTTATATTTCTTGTCTTTCCAGA